GAAAAGAGCAAGAAAAGAGCAAAAGAGCAAGAAAAGAGCAAGAAAAGAGCAAAAGAGACAAGAAAGGAGCAAAAGAGCAAGAAAGGAGCAAGAAAAGAGCAAAGGAGCAAGAAAAGAGCAAGAAAAGAGCAAAAGAGCGAAAGAGTAAGAAAAGAGCAAGAAAAGAGCAAGAAAAGAGCAAAGGAGCAAGAAAAGAGCAAGAAAGAGCAAAAGAGCAAGACAAGAGCAAGAAAAGAGCAAGAAAAGAGCACGAAAAGAGCAAAAGAGCAAGAAAGGAGCAAGAAAAGAGCAAGAAAGGAGCAAGAAAAGAGCAAGAAAAGAGCAAAAGAGCAAAAAAAAGAGCAATAGAGCGAAAGAGTAAGAAAAGAGCAAGAAAAAAAAAAACCAGCAAACGAACAAGAAGAAAGTAAGACATGAAACGAAGGAGCATTAAAAGAGCAAGACGTGAGCAGATGAGCACTAAAAGAGCAAGGGGTGAGCAAAAGAGCCCGAGCAGCTGAAATGAGTAGCTACATATCAAATGTTTTCATCCGGATTTTAGATTCGGACCTTATGAAGTAAGCTTTGGTGTTTTAACGTGGCCGTGTTTGTTCAGTGTGTACTTTTCTATGGTTTGATATTGAGTTACGGCTTGTGTTGAAGCGTCTTGTACGTCTTGTGGGTTACTTCAATGTTATTTCTTGTTTTCTAATACCCTGCGTTTGTTTTGTTTTGCGACAAACTATATATTTAATGAATACGTACACATTTATATATATATAATAGTATTCGATTCAAGAAAGCATGTCAAGAACTGTATCTATTAAATTTCACCTTCATCCGCAATTGGGTAATGCTCTTTCGTCTACATTCACACACCGCGTCTCGATAGTTGGCAATCATAGAGTGTTCCTTATTTGTTATACATGTAGGATTATCTTCGAACTCTATAATACGCATTCGGCGCTAATCCTCACGATCGATTTGTCCATCGATCCATGACGTCACTACGCCACAGACACACCTCGTTTTATGATCCTCGTCGGGGTTACCGATATGATCCTCGATGAGGATCATGATCCTCCACAAAATAATTTAAAAAAAATTACAATGTAACAAACATAAAAATCAAGTCACAAAAAAAGAGAGAAAAATTGTAACTCGTTGTACAAACCCATGTCACTATTAATGAAGAGCGGGAGACGTTTAATCCGTCAATAAAACACAAACGAAGGTAAATTTGTTGGACAAAAACGGATTAATACTGTGAAGAACTGATCAACGAAGGTCCACTCGTTTTATTTTGATTTTTAAGTTGAGATTTTTTTTTTATTTTTTTTTTTATTACATGTATACGTAGTGTATACATTTACCACTCAATTGTTTAGCAAATAGTCATAATGCTTTTGTGTTAATAAAAGTATAAGTAAAATTAATTAAAATAAATCTTCAAAAGACAGAATCTCGAAGCCTGAATGTGTCTTTATTCGCGTGTGAGAACTGCGTTGCCCTAAGGGGACAAAATATGTTACAAACACTGTGCAAGTCAACTCTATCTTCTTTTACACATGTATTTCACTTATTGTTAAAGTGCCCATGAAATGGTGTTTGTTTGTTTGGTTTTTTTTTTTTTTTTTTTTTTTTTTTTTTTTTTAATGCAAACATTGAACTGTCCGGTTTGCAACGGACCTTTGTGTCCCATGTAGCCTTAATTTAAATTTCATTTTACCGTTTTCAAGGGAATTTTGATACTTTTTTATGTTAATGCCAAGTTCAATTTTATTAACAAAATAGTAATGTCATATCAGACACAAAAAGTTGCCAGAATTCTGGATATTTCACTGACGTAAACTTTTAATTTTTTTTTATTATTCATTTGTGTGTGGTCCGTGATGGCAGTAAATCAGTGAGCAAACTGTTCTCCCAAATATTTTTAAAGAGCAAATTTTTGGGGTTCACAATAAAAAAAACCCATAAATATGAACGTGTCTAATTGAATGACATTACGGCAACAGCACCCTCAGTTGTTTTGGAAAAACATGGAACATTTTAAAAGTTGAAAGAAGTGTGCTTTCCAATGTAGTTAATTTAAAAAAAAAAAAGGATACCAATTAGTTTTCATTTATTAAAAAGCAGAACAAAATAAGTTCCGCAATGATATTCACTGCGGGGGGGGGGGGGGGCTATTGGAATTATTAAATGAACGTTTTTAAAAAAAAAAAACCAAACAAATTAATAATAATTAAAAAAAAAAAGACATATACATGTACATGTACAAATAAATAAATTATAGAAGCTGCAGATTGATGTTAAAGATAATGTGTGTAAATATTCATATTGTACTTGCATTGATAAGTGAAAGTTTCTTTTTTTTGAAGTTGACTTTTTTTTTTCTTTTTCTAAAATGTTACCTGCATTATTATTCGGCCTCCTTTCCATTAACGTTCATAAAGATCTATAATCGTAAATAAAATGAATCTGCATCAAGTAATGAAACGTATCGCTGCTCAAAGTATGTACATTTACGACTGAATTTGTTAAGTTTGCTACAAATATAAGAAATAAATTAGAACAAATCTTTAAAAGACACAGAATCTTGAAGCTTGAATGAGTCTTTGTTCGTATGTGAGCACTAGCTGCGTTGCACTTAGGGAAATATTCACTGACACTATAGAGTCAACTACATCTTCATTAAGCGTAAACAAAAACAAATACATATGTACACTCAATTCGTACTCTAATTAAAGAAGTTCAGATTGCTGTTAAAAATGTGTAAATATTTTTAACATATCTGAATTGGTAAATGTTTTTAATGTTATGCATTACTACGTGTGATATTATTTCATGTATTATATTCATTTATATCTTATTTATTTATTTATTTATTTTTTTGTCGTTGTAAACGCGTCTTTGTTCTCAAATTTAGCTTAATAAGTGGAGTCCCCTAAAATAGCGCAATAAACGTTTGGAAAACATCATGGGTACAGAAAAGTTATACATATAAATCTGAGTGTTAAACCATATTCTAAAGTGTTGTTGATTTTTTTTTTCTTTTTCTTTAGCGAGATACACAACGATTTTACGTTGGCGTGGTTTATCTCAAAGGCCTATGCACTAGTACATGTAACTCAACTCAATTCTTTTACAAAAGAACGAAATAAATTCGATTAAAATTTAAGATATATAACAATGACAAATAAATTTTAATGCGATTCTTGAATGACTTGTTATGGAGCCTAAATGTCTTATGTCACTTGAGTGTGCACTATAACTCCGCTTCTTCCTTTGATCACAGTGGTGGACATGCTGATGAGAGGTGGACCCTGAAGCAGTGAGAGAGAAATAAAACATATGTACCAATTATCATCCGAACGATTCTACATCATGTATCTTACCTTTGCAAACTCATTTAGAAGAAAGAAAAATAAACATCGGGTGATAAAAATGTCTCATGAGACATAAACTTACCTTGAATTTGTGCGATCGTTCAGGAGATTCGGGACTGGATGAGATAAAAACGCGGACGTAAAGTGCGGTCACCTTGTCGTTTTGTCGATGCACACCAAACATTCAGCTGACGTTGAATGTTCGCACCGCCGATCGATTGTGCACATAGAGTGTGTAAAAACACCACGAATTCGGACTGGACGATCGGACAAGTCCAGACTGGTCTTCTTGTTTGTCGTCCATCGATGACTCATCGCTGTGACGTCACTGGGAATGTGCTTGGGAACATTCGAGAACACCGCACGCGTATTCGGAGTGGAAGACTGGACAAGTCTGGACTGGTGGACTGGTCATCATGTTTGTCGTCCATCGATGACTCATCGCTGTGACATCATTGGGTTTCCCCACTCAAATACAAAGGCCATTGTGATAGCTCGGACCCGTTTTGTGGGTGTATGATGTGCGACACGACGGCGATCGGCAACTACCGATACTAATGAACGGTATTATTTCTTCCCCATAAATGCTATGGCCTTTACTTACACGGATGATCTATAAATACTATTGGTAAATTGTATGTTAAAGTACTACGAATCATTTGCAAGAATTGACGAACAAATACGCGTCTAGTTCGACCCTTCCAGAAATCCCTTGCGAAAAAGAGATCATCGAAGTGACTTTTTAAAATTGCACATACATGTACATGTACGTCAATATCAGTCGTGATATATTTATATGCATCGTGTGGTAATAGCAAACAGAAAGAAAATCGTGCTGGTTGTCACAACCTCCGCAATAATAACAAGCGTTCGATTTTTCCAAAATTTCATTGACCGGGTAACCAAGATTCTGCAATCACGAAAAGACAGAAAACCTTATTTTGAGAGTATTTTAACAACAAAAAAAGTATTCATCTTCGGTAATTTTGTACTCCGGGACGACGCTATTGAGGTTCAGGCCAAAACAGTCTACCCGAAAACGACGGCTGGACGTTTTGTTTGGTGCGCAATTTGCCAAACGACACAGAAACGTTATTGGTTTCGCAATAAACATTCGAACGACGAAGATACGTCAGTGAGACCATTTTGTGCACCAACTATAAAGCATATTTTTCTTAACAGAGACAAAATCAATCATCAAAAAACAGTAATTTGCTTTTTTAAAGAAAAAAAAAGTAAAGGCTAATTAAAATGAGCTTCACGAGATTGGTAAACTCGGTTAATAATTTTATGAACAATGTTTTACTAACATTTTTTTTTTGCAAGTAACGATCCTTTTTGGAACGTTTCCTATTTTAACGACTATGTGCGATTTAACTAGTGTGTCCGTGCAAACTACATCAACCCCCCCCCCCAAAAAAAAATGTAAATGAAACTCAAACCCAAACATAAAAAAAATATAAATATAAACTTCAGTTACAACCTTTCTGTGTCTGTCTTCTGGTCTTACATTTAGACATTACCTTTATTAAAACCACGATTTTTTTTTTCTTCAGTTTGTCTGCATGTACACTATGACTTTAAGCTTGCTCAATGGCAGCAGTGCCCCGTCGAGAACAAAACACAAGAAAGAAAAAAAGGGAATGAAACGTTTATTTTGACGGAAAAGACAGATCTATCCAGCAATACACATTGTACAATAAAACATGTTTAAACATTACATCGCTTTTAACACTATTTACCTCATCATATACGTACGGGCTTAAAATACACAAAAAGTGCGCTCCAGTGCCTGACAATCGTTTGCATATCCTCTACCAACAATACCCATTCAGCGCTAATCCCCACCTCATCGATTTGTCATTCGATCCATGACGTCATCTCGTCACAGACACACACCCCACCCCTCCTCCTATGATCCTCGGCGGGGTAACCGATATGATCCTCGATGAGGATCATGATCCTCCACCGGAAAACGAGGTCAAATGCTTAGACTACACTACTAAGGTGATCAGAGTATTGGCAGAATCTTGTTGGAGACAATAAATCCATACTTCCAAATTGGAACAAAGACACTCCATCTAACTCTAACAAACAACGGAATGACATAAACCTATTTCGAATTCATTTGCTTACTTTTCACAAATACCTGCTTAATGGTGAATAATATAATGAATGACCAAACTTGCACAGCTGGAAGCTCTGGCGAATTTGGATGCTCGTTTGTGCAATTTTAATTTGAATGCCCCGTTGTTAAGATTGCATGTTTAAAATGTGAAATCGCATGCTTCAAATGTTAAATTGATTGGTGTTTTTAGCTAATTGAATGTTGATCTCCACGTGCATTCAAATTTATGCGAAAATGACTGATTGGTCACCAATTTGGCCGCCAAATCTGCTAACTTGGCCGGGAAAATCTATAAAAAACTGACAAACATTAATTTCTTCCTATCTGCATTACAATATCTTTAGTGTTATCATCCAACAGCAAGTGGCTAGATAACAAGTCATTTCAGGCAATAAGCATAGAGTCGAGATTACAGAAATTATTGTAAAGCCTCTTTTACATTTACAGTATCACATGGCATTCAAGGCTAGATGCATCAAATGAAAGGACTACAAGTTAATGTGGTGTTACACATGTCAGTAAGTTTGAAAAAAGCAGCAGTCTGACTACAAACAAGATACAAAAACAGTTTTGGATTTCAGATAATTGGAAGACGAGTTGAAAAAAAGGGGTGTGGTCAACTGGTATTTTGGATGATGAAACCACTCCCTCATAAAGGTAAACATTTTACAATGTACAAGTAAGAACAGCACCTATTGAGTATAATGTCATATTCTTAAGACGGGAACATTTTCCTTGAAATAAAAACATTGATACTTTTAATTAAAAAGTAAACAAATTTCAGTAAAAGTAAACATATTTCAGTATCCCAATCCTTAACTGCATTGAGCAGGAGTCAGGAGATACCATAATGAAACAGATGTTTGTCCTCAAGATGCAGAAAGGTAAAAACGATGACATGGAAACTTGAATACAGCTTTGCAGTCTGTACAAGACATATTGTGTGTTTTCACAATACTTCATTTTCATAACACAAATATGCACATTCATTGTTTGTATAGGCCTATCTCAAATTATAACAGTCACAGCATTTAGAAATATGCATGTACATGTACCATATACTTTATAAAAAAAAAATTACATGTAGGCCACCAGCATCATTCAACTAAAATAGTTTGCATAAATTTCATGATAAAAGGTCATATTACAGCCATTTACATGCACACACATTAATACGGGAATAAATATGAGCTTGGCTTGGCCTGGATGCTGATAACCCATTCATAAATACCTTTCGGTCAAAAATGCACAATTTTCCCAACGATTTTGTTCAACAAGTTTACCTCATTATTGTGAAACACCCCTCTTGACATTTCTATGGTCAGTGCCTCACGCGCATAATGCTAAAAGCTACAAAATACTAATGAGTAGTATAAACTAATGAAATCTGTAGTATGCATAATTTCCTTCCATACAAAATTACAATGGGTACAACACATGTAGTATTCTGTGGTATTTGAAATATATCACTTGACCCCAAATAGCTCTTAGGGGTTAGGGTTAACGTGCTTCAGTTGGCTTAAAATGTGCAACATAAACAATTTTCCCACAAATATTGACAATTCCTTTGATGCCCCAGCCTCCTTTTGTCAGTTATTTTTGCTCTGGTAGTGCCTCTGGAAGTTACAGGTGCAAATCCCCACTTTTACTCGTACCCGCAACCCTGACAAAATGGTGTTGGTGAGTTCTAAGCACCTTCAAAACTCTTTATGAATGAAAAGTAGACTTTGCAAAGAACCATAGTAGCTTATTGCCTTAACCCTAACCACGCCAACCCTTCAAATTCCAACACCAGCGGGTTCCCAACTGTTCCCAATGGAAGCAATACATGTTTCCAATTGGAACAGGCTATTCCCTGCTGGAGAGTTCCAAGCGTTGTGGCTTTTGAGACATTCCCTTACTGGCCACAGAACATAAATGATGTCTACATAATGAATACAATTACAAGACAGTCTCTCTCATCTTTTTTTACACCAGCATGTTATCTCAGGCGTAGACTTCCAGGTAACTTCTGATGGCCTGTCGACAGAGAGGACACTTCCTCGCGTCTCGTCTTGGCTGGCCTGTTATCTCCTCCACACACTCAAGGCAGATGCAGAGGTGCTTGCAAGGCAGGATCAAGATGTTCTTGCCGTTGTCCTGGCAGACCACGCACAGCTGACGGTCGCGTTCCTCCTCCAGTTGTCTCGCAAGGTCATTGGCAGCGCTGGTAGTGGTGGACTCCGGGACGGGTGGGTTGGACGCTGGGGGAGATGGTGAGCTTCTCCGAGGGTTGACTCGCCTCTGGTTCTGCTCCCCTGATGGGCCGGCACCATTGGCTGCTGGAGGGGCATACGGTGGCTGCATTGCTGGAACCTGCTGTTGTCCAGGTTGTGGCGCGCTTTGCGGCCTAGGTTGTGGCACTCGCGGGGCTGTGCGTCGTGGTCGTAGAAGCGACTCATCATCGTCCGTATCAAATGCATCCCTCTCCCGTGGAAGCCTCTGTTCCACGTTCTGCTGGTATCGTGGTTGCCGTAGGTGGTTGCGCTCACCACGAGACAATGCGCGGTGGAAAAGGTTCATCATTGTGTTGGCCGACCTCAAGGCATTAACAAACAGGTTGTAAAGCTTCAAAGGGATCAGGACAAGAAGAAGGCAGACAATGGCAAAGATCCCGACGTAGGAAATTGTGGACACCAGGGCAACCATGAGATCGACAAATGAACCAAAAGCATTGCTGCTGGCTTCTAGAATTTCAGTATATATTTCAGCCGCCTTTCTGCCCGAGTAAGCCTTAGCCATCATAATTGAGTCTTCAACAGCGGTCCTCATCTGCCACAAATCGCCCACAAATCGGAGAAATGCATCCAAAGCAGCAGTCAGTGCTCCGGTTACAAGACCAAATGCCAATGACTGGACTTCAGTCAATGCATCAGAAACCGTCTTCCCTGCTGCAATCAGCCAGCTCCCGAAAGACACAACAGCATCGTACAAAAATGAAACGATGCCCTTCAGAGGTTCCTTCAGAGGTTCCAACAGCATGGATGGTGTTGGAAGACCTCCAGCAGAATCCAAAGCCCAATTAATGCAATATGCTATCGCTGCATAACACCACACCGCACCACGCCACACCTTTTCAATCACCCAAGGTCCATATTCCAGTACCATTCGGAAAACGGAAACTGAAAATTGCGAGATCTGAATCCCAAACTTGATGAGCGCAAATGTTGCAGATGAAATGAAACGGAAGACATATTTCAGACTTGCAAGCACATCTATAATCAGCTGGACCATAGAAAGAATGCCAAACAGCAGCAACTGCACGGCCTTCGCTGTGTAGAACAGACAGTAAATGATGGCGGAGAATAACGCCGACACAGCATCGTAGTTGGTTTCGTAGATGCAATGAATCCAATACAAAGGCTGACTGCAGACCCATAGGAAACTGCTAATCCAATGTGTGATGCTCGCAATTATATCTGCCAATGCCATGATCTCGTGTGTTCACGTCTAACATGTAGGTTTTTACTCTCGTAGCAACATCCAAGTGTCAGATATGTCTGTTGTGTTACTTTACTAGAAAGAGCAATTCACCCTTCCAATTGTTCTGTACTCAAGTTGACTGCACGCAAGACAAATGTCAGACAAACGTCGTTGATATTTTTGCTCGTAAGAAATATCAAGCGGCGTAAGTTTTGGAGCGAAGCGCCACGTCACAGAAAAGACATGTGTACCTAAAGAACACTCGTCACCATAGTTCAATGCAGTCCAGATGTGCTGGCATTCTCTTATCTGGACAAGCTACGTGACCTTTGCAATGCAGTTACTGTTGAAGATAAATAAAGAAGCTATTGAAGTCACAAAATGACGAAGTTAATGATGCATGTACACATGTGCAAAATCTGCCGTAGGTCTAGCTGGCTGTTAGACTGAAATGTCTTGATCTTGCCATTGTATTTGTGTACATTTGTTCTCACTGTGCAGTCAGTTTCATTCTTCTACTGACTTGACTGGGTTGTACTCTAGAGTGTTACCAATGAGTGTCACTGTCACGACTGTTTTTTGATACGAAGCTTTTACGATGCTTCTGGAAGAAGGCAGAACACGTATTGCTCCCATCACAGTAACCTAAAGAAACAAGAAAAAACAAAAGAGAAAACTGTGTTAAGTCTTACATTGTTAATATTTCCTAATATTAAAATAAAAAGATGTTTTGAATGAATGCCAGTGCGGACATGGCGGAACTGTGTGCATGTGGCAGACTGTGGCCCACAGCACAGGGCCACTTCGATAGCTCCATGACTGACCAAAGTCAAAATTTGAAAAAAGGGAGTTCTCCACCCCACCGTGACCCCCAGTTACTGAGGTAAGCACTTATTCCAGGTACTGAGTGAGGGCGAAGTTGAAAATGGGCGAAGTGACGGCAATTGTATAGTTGAGGACCCCGTTCCTATAATTGAGAGAACGAAAATCCATTTCAAAACTTTTGGACTCGTCTAAGTAGATGACGATGACACCATGTTGAATATCTGCAGGATTAATATTGTGGAAAGATGGCAGTGTTTTGATATTTGATGGAAATTACGGGTTAAAAAGTGACGACATCGACAAGAAACACAAACACTGAAAACCAACTTGGCGATAGTGTCAAATCTGGTTTAGTAGACCGTCGGTTATTGGTTGGTACACCAGTGCACTGTGCCTCGCGTGCTACCAGCACACCGCGGTACAACGGTGCGGCAGTGTGTGTCGATTCGCATGCTCGTTACCAGAAAATCAAGTAAGAAAGTCGAACTTTCTCCCAATTGATCGTTCTAAAAAAAAATAATTAAAGGAAAGAATGTAGTATCCATGGTATCCAGACTATTACGACAGTACGAAAGAACTTTGGAAAGACCCAATCCAAAATTTGAAAAAAATGAGTTCTCGCGCCCCAGTTAGAATGGTTAGTGGGTCTAACGTTACATTGAGATGATTTTTAATGAAAAAAAGTGGCGTCAGGATGCAACATTCTTTCCTTTTTAAAATAAGTTCAGTATAAGATAGCTGGAGTTACCCAGCCCTGAGTTTTATCATTGGGTTGTCTATAGACAACCCAACGATGGAGTTACCCAGCCCCGAGTTTTATCATTGGGTTGTCTATAGACAACCCAACGATAAAACTCAGGGCTGGGTAACTCCAGCAAAGTATAAGAGAATGTTGCCTGAGGTTGCAGACTTTGGGGGAGCGACAGAACTTTTTTAAGAAGAACAAAAAACGGAGGTGTCCTCAACTACACAATCACTCAAGCATGCCAAGTGAAAAGTAACGCCCAAAGTCGCAGCGAAGTCCCTAGGCACCACCACCAATCATGCCAGTGTGACCACATGCATCAGACATCTGATCACGAGGAAATGGGTCAACTCGTACCCGAGTTAACTCGTACCCGAGTCAACTGGTACCCCAAAATTGACACCCAAGTCAAGTCGTACCCGAGTTAGGTCATACCCGAGTCAAGTCGTACCCCAGTCAACTCGTACCCGAGTCAAGTCGTACCCGAGTTGACTCGTACCCGAGTCAACTCGTACCTGCAGCTCAAAATAGTTGCCTATTTTCGAAAAGTACGAGTTGACCCGGGTACGAGTTGACTCGGGTACGAGTTAACCTGGGTACGAGTTGACTCGGGTACGAGTTAACCTGGGTACGAGTTAACTTGGGTACGAGTTGACTCGGGTACGAGTTGACTCGAGTACGAGTTGACTCGGGTACGAGTTAACTCGGGTACGAGTTGACCCAAAATCGATCACGACAGACACTAGACAAACAGCAGATGACAGAACTAGGATTAGGAAAGATGGAATAAACAAACAATACCGGAAGCAATCGTCCAGCTAAAACCGAAAAGGAAAGAATCCTCCCCACCTTGGTAAAAAGTCTGAGAACAAAAGACCATTACTGCAGTCTACTTCTGTCCTCGAATACAACAAAATTATTATCAATCAGCCCAAAAGGCCAAAACAAGGCCAGGCTAGCTAGGCCGGTGTGGCAGGTAATTCTGTCCCCCCTGGTAAATGTGTCCCCCCGGACAGATTTACCGGGTCGTGACCCGGTAAATCTGTCCGGGGGACACTTTTACCTAGGTAAACCTGTCCCCCTCTAGGTAAATCTGTCCCCCTGCACAACGTTAAATGTGTCCCCCCTGGTAAATGTGTCCCCGTGCAACGTCACAAGTCTAGCACCCAGACTGTATATTAGTAAAGTTATTAACTGTTTTTGCGCGGCGCCTTGCTAAATTCGGGAATGGTGCTTACGTCAAAGCACAACTCCCGTTTTGATGACGACTTCGGGAGCGAGCAATTTGCATGGTGGGCAAAAAAGACTTGAAATGCACATTTATTTTAAGCCGCATTGTTGCAAAAATAAAGACAAAATGGAACTCGAACGAGCAAGGAACATGGACCAAGGAGTTCGTTCTTAATTATTCCTCCATGAACACACACACACATGCATGACGCTGGGAACACAAATCAGATGTTTAGTTTCTGGAGCCAAATTGAAAAAGCCAGGTAATACTACCCCAAAATCAAAACATTGCAACGTCAAAGGGATCAATTAACCATCTAGCGTTATTTTCATTGCAGTTTGGTGTTGCTTTTTTTCCCCTGAAAAACGAGGTTAAACACAAATGATCCTTCACGGTGCATTTATTAGTGTCGCGTCTTATACTAGTATACCGCCCTCTAGCTAGCCCTGTCGGCCAATGTGCTTAATTAAACCTCACTTTAACCTCCCCTAACTCTTCCCATCCGAGGGTTTTAAATACAGTACATACACTTGTTCTTAGAAGAAAAAGTAACAAAATGATCGTAAAAATCAACAAGAATCTTTAACTCGCGTCAAAATTGAATCATTTCACTTCTCAAAAGTGAAAACGGGCGCTCTGGAAAACAAATTATATTTTCTCCTGTCATTATGGTAAAAATCTCCGGAAATTGCTTCTTGGCTGGGCCTTCAATTCGTTTACCAGATTCTGAGGACAATCAGGTGGCTCCATGCTCATGTATAGTCAGCGGGAATAGGCGGGGGTCGTGAGCGGTCCGGCACGGCAGGGTTTCAATTGGTGAAACCTGTCGACCTCGTCACGCGACCGCTGCAGGTTGCTTATTTTGCAAGAGGCACGCGTCTATTTTGTCACTAATACACGCACGCGGTAACCTCGTCAACTTTTTGTCCCGAGTCAACTGATTATTTGTTCTTTCCCGCCAGAAGTTGGGAAACAGAATCATCCCAGTTTTATACGGGCGGGATGGGGTCCTGGGTACATAACTCTGTTCTGCTTTGCTTGCGTTGTACCTGTGTATTTTAATGGATATTTGTGTATTTAATTGTTTATTTGGGTACCGGTATTTTAATTTCACTTGTGAATTTTAATTGCATTTGGGTAGTTAGATTTTTACGACATTGTGTATGTATACATGTTCTGCGCACTTGAACACTAATGTGGAATCTGCGCAATATAAATTTATTATTATTATTATTATTATTATTATTATTATTACGTGTGACCATTGTAATATCATTTTATGAAAAGGTATATGGTTACTTTTTGCTTTTAGTGTTTTAAAGTTCGCCTACTCGCGAGTTCTTTTCGAAATATCGTGACCAGTGCACTGAGTTCTGGACAGACCATGTCTCTCTATTTTGGGGTCCGGTTGCAGTTGGGAGGGGAGGGGGGGGGGGGGTTAATAAGTAAAATGGAAAAAAAATGTAGCTCTATTAACAATTCTTCCAACCTCCAACCCCCGGGCCACACCTTTAATTCACCAACCCATGGCCCCGCCCTTCTGAAAAAAAAGTTGCATTTCTTTTTATTGTATACTCAGTTTTTTTCCAACTTATCTTTTTTTCAACCTATTATTTTGGCTGATACTGTTTCAGAGATATGAACCCCATATATTCCTAATTCCCCATTCCATCATTTTAGCAACTGTAAAAAAAAAATCAACTGTGGAACGACTGTGAGAACTCTACCCTGACCAAGCAATATAATGTCAGCAAGGTCATGGGCAATTATGCGAGGAATGCAGCCCAGCTCGGTTATAACAACAATCACCCAGTGGGTAAACGATTGTTCTGGACGCAAGTTCTATCCAAAATTAAACAGCATGACTGACATGACAAATTGTGATTTGCCATACTTCCATCTGCTATGCTTGTTTATGGAGTGGGCGATTCAACGTAAAACCAAACTTTGTGTAAAGTCCCAGGTTTTTCCGACCGTGATCTTAGGAGTTTGGGACGCTCACCAAGCTGGTGCAGGGGGATACACAAGGCGGGAGGAAGACCTCTCAATTGAAAAAAAAAAACCCACATCGTTGTGATCATAGAATGTTAATCATAGAATGTATTTCGAAAGATGAGTTTAATATTTTATTTACTTTATTTCTGGTCACGACACCAAGGATTCCTCGACAGTGCCCTAGGTACTGTAGCTCGAAAGCCTCAAGAAACCTGTATAGAGACAATGAGAAGAAATTACAGTTTTAGAGGTAAGCGGAAGAGTCCAGAAGAATATTCTGAGGAAAACCCGGTACAGGTAGGGATCCACCTATTGGCCAGGGCGGGTGGGATTCGAACCCGGGTGACAGCGGTGGAAGGCGAGGAAAGTACCGCTACGCCAAACCTGACTCCTGTCAATTCGTATGACTTCCTTGTTGGGATGCAAGCCTTGAATAAACCAATTAGGTTTGCGAGGAAGGGCAGATGTCATCATCCAAACTCGTCAAACTATCGATATAAATATTATGACGAAATTGACAACTCAGCATAGAACAATATATGCCAGTTGCATTTTAAAATGTAACCACAATCATCCTTACTATATATATTGTTTTCAATTATCTAGTAAACTGGTACCGGTACTTCCTTAGATTTTACATGTATTTTCAAAACGCGATACACGCCATTTTTTTTACTTTGTACTTGTAGAGTCCGCTCTCCTCCGGCTGGCCAAAGTTAATTTCGATGACTGTTATGTAACGGTAGTTAAATATAATTTAAGAATACAATAAAGCGAAAATTAACATCAGAAAAAGTTGTAATATTTTTTTTTATTCATTAAATTGTTTATAACCGTGCAAATTGTCTAATTTTTTTTCTTCAAATGGATGTGATATCGCATTTTGGAATAAACTCTTCTTACTCGATCTTTCTAGCAGTTTTTATAGAATATATAGGCCTACTGTTAAATCATTGCACATTGAAAAAGGTCATAAAAAAATAATGCCATGCAACATGTTATAATGCGCCCTCTATGTTCGGAATATGTTCGGAGTAGATACACATGAATCGATTCCGATCGAAAACAGATCCTTTCTCCCAATATTGAGTTTTGACACTGACAGTGCACACCGTACCTTCCGCATTCGATGCCATCGAAAATTTGCTTGTATATACCTTTACGAAAACAACTTTAATTGAAACTCAAATTTCAGTCCATCAAATTTCCTCTGAAATTTCCTGTTGCTGGGTCGGTGGGACAGTCCTTCTCTTTTATAAACGCAATTTTTTAAGTCAAACTCGAAATCGTCACTAATCATCCAATAACCAAGCGTCACGCCCGATTGACTGTCTTCATTGTGACGCTATTGGCTAAAAATAACGCGTTTGTCATGCAGATTATGGGTCACAATGGTCGCCCAAATGATGCAGCCAAGCGGAGAAACCGTGAGAAAACTCTGGTTGGTTGCGTCAAGGTCTGAAGCTGCGTAACTATCGTGCATAATTAATCACGGATATTTTACTCTCGTGAATGAAGCCACCATGGGTTTCGAACGCTGCAGGCTCCTCTCCAATTCCAGAGATGTGCCGAAATATTGTGTTGGGTCGCTGGGAGGCGAAAGGAGGCTGGCTGGCCGCTGCCCAGGGCCTCGGCCGGGACCGACCAGTCACACGGGGATGGAGCGCCATCTATGCCGCTAATCGGCAAGATTAGCCGCCGATTTGCCACATGATTGGCAGCCATGTTGCTAATCCACGAGCGGCCTAAATTAGCCGGTGCGCACGGCTCGACCCAAGGGACCCTCTTGACACGAGAAGTGGGGGGATCGCCGGCTGGCCACCGCGCGCAAGGGGGACCGGCCGCCCCGTGCCGGTCGCGTGGGCCCAGGAAACAAAGGCTAATTAAAGACCGGGGGCCGGCACAGCACGCCGAAGAATGGAGGCCGGGAATTATTGCGTGTGCTCCCACGGTGCTGACTGGGCCGTTTAGCGGCTCGGCGCGGCTTTCTGTTCTTTGTTCAGCAGACAATGAGGCATCCACGGCAAGCCTGTTGCTGGCTGGGTCCTTGGTTAACGAATTATCTGTTAATTTTTGAAGATGAAGGAAGTGTGTTCGTCAACGGACAGCCTTGACTTGAAATTACATCAGTGAGTCTAGCCAAAGGAAGAAGAAAGACGAGTTGCATTGCAATGCCTGATGAACAGGGCTGCCACCACACAGCCTCTTGCTTACGGGCTTGCGTAACAAAACAATAAACGACAAAAGGATAATTCTGTACACATACTTATTTCAGACTATTATACATGTAGGTAAAAAAAATAATTAGTACCCTATTCTGTTTTAGATGCCCAACCAGATATTTCTAATAATGTCCTAATTACTAATTATCAAGAAAAAAATGCAGGTTTTTAAACAGACGAAATCCAAGTAAGCATCTTACTTAGCCGAGGATATGTGCTAACTCCTTATAGGATATTTTTGTAATACTCTCCACAAAAGGATCATTATTATAATACCCCTCAGTTTCGATGCTAAGTACGTCTGGTCACCTTGTTAATAACTTGGACACCTTCCCACCACAATTCAGGATGATGCCACTTCAGGTCTGAACGCAATGTACATCATTAAGTACACTTGCAGTCAAGCCTAAGATAACTTTTACCCAAGTCCTCATAATTGTAAGACAATCACTAGTCCTTCAGTCTCAAGTCTAGTCGCAAGCCATTCAAAGTGACCTAACAACAGACATCACTGAAATTGTTTTGGGGAGGTC